ACTTTGCTGAGCCAACCTGTCCCTAGTGGACCAGAGGGTTCATGGGTATCCATACAAGGCCAGTGTGCTCTGTGTGGACAAAAGGGGCACTGGAGGGAGGATTGCAATTAACATGCCTTTGCAAACAGCCAGAGCATTGGAAGAGGGAATATCCCAGATGCCAGAGAGTGATCATTGAGGACCACTAATGGTTTCACAATCAGAAGACTGACAGGGCTCAAGGCTGAAAATTTCTCTGCCTAGAGATACTATCTACATAACTAATGTTGAGCCATGAGTGATCATTGATGTGGTGGGCCACTTGATAGAATCTCTTGTAGACACTGTTGCAACCTTCTCCATAATAACCCAAAGGGTTGGAAACCTTAGCAATCATAAGAAATATGTAATGCTGTGTCAGGGCTTCCCTGGTGGCTCCGTGGTTAAAAAAAAAAAAAAGAATTCACTTACCAGTGCAGGAGACTTGAGTTTGATCCCTGGGTCAGGAAGATCAGAAATGGCAACTCAGTCCAGTGTTCTTACCTGGGAAATCCCATGGACAGAGGAGCCTGACAGGCTATAGTCCATGTGGTTGCAAGAGCCAGACATGACGTAGCAACTAACAACAGAGTGTCAGGGAAGAGACAAGGGCACAATTTCCTGGAACCCCTTCTATGAAACATCAATGGCCAATTGTTTTCACATTGCTTTCAGTTTGTACCTGATTGGCCCATCCCTTTAACAGGGAGAGATTTATTAACTAAATTAGGGATCACTCTGTTTCTGGAGGAGAATGGGGATCACCCTCATCACCAAATGGTTCTAATGGAAAGCGAAAAGGAACAGATTGAAGCTGACATGGAAGTCTTAGTAGACCCTGGAGTGTAGAGTAGTGAGGTTCCAGGCTTGACCAAAGATATCCAGCCAGTGGTTATTAAGAGCTGGGCAGGAGTATCCCTGCAAAAAACAATACCCCTTAAAATCAGAGGCACAGAGGGGAATCTTTTCCCTTAGTAAAGGAATAACTTTTGGATAGATTGATGGTGCTCTGTCAGTCACCATGTAATATGCCAGTATTGAAAGTGAAAGTCATTCTTTGTGATCCCATGGACTGTAGCCCTCCAGGCTCCTCTGTCCATGGGGATTCTCCAGGCATGGATACTAGAGTGAGTTGTCATGCCCTTCTCCAGGGGATCTTTCTAACCCTGGGATCGACCCAGGTCTCCCACATTGCACGTGGATTCTTTACCAACTGAGCCACCAGGGACACATTTTCAAACCCACTGCTGCTGCTGCTGCTAAGTCACCTCAGTCGTGTCTGACTCTGTGAGAGCCCATAGACGGCAGCCCACCAGGCTCCCCATCCCTGGGATTCTCCAGGCAAGAACACTAGAGTGGGTCGCCATTTCCTTCTCCAGTGCATGAAAGGAAAAGTGAAAGTGAAGCCGCTTAGTCGTGTCCGACTCTTAGCCCACTGCTGCTGCTGCTGCTAAGTCACTTCAGTCGTGTCCGACTCTGTGGGACCCCATAGACGGCAGCCCACCAGGCCCCCCCGTCCCTGGGATTCTCCAGGCAAGAACACTGGAGCGGGCTGCCATTTCCTTCTGCAATGCATGAAAGTGAAAAGTGAAAGTGAAGTTGCTCAGTCGTGTCCGACTCTTAGCCACCCCATGGACTGCAGCCCACCAGGCTCCTCCGTCCATGGGATTTTCCAGGCAAGGGTACTGGAGTGGGTTGCCAGTGCCCTCTCCTCTTAGCCCACTAGGGAGTATCAATTTGTATAAGATCTAAGGACTGTTAATGAAGCAATGGAATCCATCTATTCTATTGTGCCTAATCCTTATACTATCATGACTCACATGCCCAAGTCCAGACGATACAAATATTTACTGGTAGTGGTAGACATTCACTGTATGGGTAGAGGTTTTTCCCACACAGAGAGAACAGGCCTCAGAGGTTAAAAAAAAAAAAAAAAAAAAACTTGCTTAAGGAGAAAATCCCATTTTGGATTACCTCAATCTATACAAACTGATACCTCTAAATTTACCTTTAAAATGCCGCAACAAGTAGCTGAAACCCTGGGGGAAAGTACTCCCTTCTTACAGCATAGAGACCCCAAATCCTCAGGGAAAGTATAAAAAAATGTGTGATATTTGGAAGTGAACTATATCCAAATTATGCCAAGAGACTCAGGAAAACTGGGTCCAAATATTACCAATTACTCTAATGAGAATAAGGGTAACCCCCAAAGAAAAGCTAAGCTGCAGCCCCTATGAATTAATGTATGGGAGACCCTTCTTAACAAGTGGTTTCCTATTAGATGAAGAAACAGCTGTGCTTCCCTGGCGGCTCAGATGGTAAAGAATCTGCCTGCAGTGCAGGAGACTTGGGTTCGATCCCTGGGTCGGGAAGATCCCCTGGAGAAGGGAATGGCAGCCCACTCCAGTATTCTTGCCCAGAGAATTCCATGGACAGAGGAGCCTGGCTGGCTACAGTCCGTGAGGTCCCAAGGAGTCAGACATGACTGAGAAACTAACACAGAGAGAGATTATAGAGAGATTATGCTGTAAACTCGGACCAAGTACAACTTGTCCTAATAGATGGGAGAACCCTGTAATTTAACGATCACTCAAGAAAGCTATTGGATCGTTGTGGAATGAAGCAGGCCTGCTTAACTATAAAGTATGAGATACGTCCAGAATCATTAAGTGAAAGAAAAAAATGTTACCACCTTTCAGCTTATTTGAATAAGCACTATGACAGTCCTAGTTTAACCTCATACGTACAGTCAGACCCTCTCCCGCCCTATAGGAATGAGGAGCTAGTGATGTAAGCCTGGCATCAACTTGAAGAATGAGGAAGAAGGCAGTCTTTTCCCCCTCCCTCACTTTCCTTTGATTATAAAAATGTAGCTCACTTAATCCTCAGGGCACAGTCCCGCCAGCCTGTTTGCATTTCTCACAAGTGTCCTATGTTAGTAAATCTACTTCTTGCCTATCACTTTGCCTCTCACTGAATTCCTCCTGTACTTCGGCAGAAAGAACCTGAGCCACAGTAAGTCCTGGCACCAAGTGAGTGATTCTAATTAAAAAATCGTGAGTTCAGGTCCCAATCTGGCTTTAGCCTGAGTTCAAGTCCCACTGTGTGGGGTCAACTCCCATTCTGAGGTGCACCATTTCAGTGCTACCAAGAAAAGTTAAAATGCTATAAAAGGCATAGATTAAAAGGTGAGGGAAGTAAATTTTAGCTATGAACAATAAATTTAAGGGGCTATGAGATATCTAGGTGGACTCGGTGAGCAAGTATAAGTAAGTCTAGTTTCAAGACAGCTTGGGTTTCATCAGTATACAGGTATTAATATATTGGGATAGAGGAAAATAGCCCAAGATGTGCATAGAAAGTGACTATTAAGGTTGGTTAAGGACAAAACTCTGGAGAATGCCACCACAAAAATAGCAGATGCAGAAAGAGAAATCACAAGGGAAAAGAACAAACATAAGATCCTGGGAGAAAACTCTGGCTTCCCAGAAGCCAAGAGAATAGAGTTTTAGGGAGGGTGATCAGTAATACTGCCAAACTATCTTCCAAGGTGGCTGTGCTCATTTTACATTCCCAGCAGCTCTGAATGAGAGTTCCTATTGTTCCACATTCTTGCCAGCATTTGATGTTGTCAGTGTTCTGGATGTTGGGCACTGGTAGGTGTGTAATATCTCATTGTGACTTTAGTTTGCATTTCTCTAGTGATGTAGGATGTGAAACATCTTTTCATATACTTATTGCCAACTGTATACCTTCTTTGGTAATGTGTCTGCTCAGATCTTTTGCTTATCGTTCAATCGGGTTGCTTTATTGTTGTATTATAAGAGTTCTTTGTATATTTTGGATAACTATCTTTTATCACATATATGTTTTGCAAATATTTTATCCTAATCTAGGGCCTGTCTTCTTGTTCTTTTGATGGTGCCTTTTTCAAAACAGACTTTTTAATTTGCATGAAGTCCAGTTTGCCAATGATTTCTTTCATGCAGTTGTTATCTTAAATGTTATTGCCAAACCCAAAGTCACCTAGATTTTGTTCTAGGAGTTTCATGGTTTTGCATTTTATCTTTGGGTATATGATCCATTTTGAGTTATTTCTCTAAAACTTGTATAATGACTGTGTCCAGATTGAGAGTTTTTATCAGGAATGGGTGTTGGATTTTGTCAAGTGCTTTTTCTGCATCTATTGATGTGATCATGTGATTTCTTTCTTCTTTAGCCTTCCCTAATCCCAGAAAGTTCTCTCCTGCCCACTTGGGATCCCTGCTTCCCCCTGCTCTCAGGCATCCACTAATCTACTACTTTTTATTTCCATCAATTTGTCTTTTCTGGGCATTTCCTTTAAATGGAATTCTTCATATGCAGTCTTTTGTGTCTGGCTTCTGTCACCTAGCATAACGTTTTTGAGGTTTATACATGCTGTAGGATATATCTCTCTTTAAAAAATACAATGGCTGTTTTATAGTTACTATATATTAGTATAACTTTGCTAAACATCAATATAACTATTAATAAATATCTAATTAGGGAGGAACTAAGATTATACACTATTCTGTACAGTCACCTGTCAATAAGAAAGCCATTTTGTGTATTTATTAAACACGAAACATGATGGTTGTGCTACAGATACTCATAGGTAACTGGCTAGTCAATTGACCTATAAGAATGATTTTTAAAGTATAAAGTTTTACTAATAGAATTATATTTGGAAAATACAGATATATCAATATTGATTTATTTTAATAGAATACAGCAATAAACAACAAATGAGCAGAATTGCTCCTAAGAAAAGAGAAATCATGTTCATATCTGTGTAACTTCAACTGCCTTCTGAAAAATCTAATTAATCTTGTTGAACAAATGAAATATTTAACATCTGATACTTCTAAAAAAACCAATTTAAAAGCTCCAAGGCTGCCATGAGTTTAAGGAAAACACCTGAAAGTCACAAAATGTTTATGTATATAAACAATTGTACTTACAAATTATCCTCAATTCTCTTCAAGGATTCCAAAACTAATGAATGAACGCTGTCTAAGGAGCAGGATCCAAAGCAATTTAAGGCTGAAATATATCTAATTTTCATAACCCAGTCATTATGTAGCTTCCTTTTAACACTGGGAATTACAAGAAAAAAAGGGGATTATGTTAGACTCACAGACACATCATGTTGAATTTCTATTTGGTATTTCACTTTTACTTTAACCAAATTGCAGCTCTGAGCTGTAGTAAATCCCCCATGTATTAACAATATCCTATGCATTGTGCAACTTTCAACTGTTTACATTTTCATCATCTAGCATATTTTAAAATAAAAAATAAAAGTTTGTCATCAGATTTTGAGCTATAGATTCAGAATTAAATTTTAATCTAGATGAATTTCAGTCCAATATTGACCCTATCATCTTTGGTTGCTGTTGTTTAATCGTTAAGTCATGTCCAACTCATTTGCAAACCCATGGACTATGACCTGCCAAGCTCCTCTATCCCTGGAATTTCCCAGGCAAAAATACTAGAATGGGTAGCCGATTCTTTCTCCATAGGATCTTCCTAAACCAGGGATCAAACCTGAGTTTCCTGCATTGGCAGGTAGATTCTTTACCACTGAGTCACCAGGGAAGCCACTATCATCCTTACCCTATTGAAAAAATTCTGATCAAGCAAACAGAAGACTGTTTCGTAATATTTTTTATCTTGTATGAGTCAATTTATTTTCATATTTTCCATGAGCACATTCAAAACTGAAGAACAAGGAAGTTTGCAATCCCAGATCACTAGTGATGCTGAGGCTAGGACAACTGCCATGTCTGTGCTCAATTGCCTCAGTTGTATCCGGCTCTGCGACCCCATGGACTGTAGCCCACCAGGCTCCTCTGTCCATGGGATTTCCCAGGTAAAAGTATTGAAGTGGGTTGCCGTGCTCCCAAAGATAAAACCCACATCTCCTGCATCTCCTGCATTGCAGGGGCTCCTTTACCTGCCGAGCCACCAGGGAAGCCAGTGTATTTGTTTCCTCAGTCAAAACCACTGACTGAGCTTTATGTCCTCAATCCCAGGTATTGAGGACATAAAGATGATTAATGTAAAACCCTTATCATCAAGTTTCTTAGATTGTAGTTGAGAAATAAATATGTTTATAACTCAAGGCAGGGAAGTTTGACAATATTGGATTAAACAGATTGAAAAGAGAGATTTCTTTTTTTCATGTCACATTGTGTTAAATTTTGAACTCTGGATACTGGCTACTTTTTAAAATGTCTACAGCGTTTTGCCTCAACACTCAGCCTAAGTATATAGGTGTGTGTGTGTGTGTGTGTGTGTGTGTGTGTGTGTACGCGCCTAGTCACATCCAACTCTTTGCAACCCCATGGAATGTAGCCCACCAGGCTCCTCTGTCCATGGGGATTCTCCAGGCAAGAATACTGGGGTGGGTTGCCATACCCTCCTCCGGGGGATCTTCCCAACCCAGGGATCAAACCCAGGTCTTGCTCATTGCAGGCAGAATTTTTACTGTCTGAGCCACCATATATACTTCAGTCTCAAATAATTTAAGTCATGCCCAGGTATCTCAATGGTAAAGAACCCACCTGCAGATGCAGGAGATTTGGTTTCTATCCCTGGGTAAGGAAGACCCCCTGAAAAAAAAAGCCCACTCCAATATTCTTGCCTGGGAAATCCTATGGACAGAGGAGCCTGGTAAGCTACAGTCCACAGAGTCACAAAGAATCAAACACTGCTTAGTGACTAAACAAAAGCCACAGCAGACACACATCTCAGTAAAGAGAAGATTCATGTCTCGGCATCTAAGAGCCTATCATAATAGGAATAAAGTGCTTGATAATGGATAAAACAGCCCATCACATTTTGGGAAAGTCTCCCATTAGAGGCTAGTACTTTGATGGAACTAAGTCATACTGTTCATATATGAAAGATGAAAAATGGAGCCAGACAAGTATTATGTCATTCTTAGGGTTTCAGCAATGGACTAGTCTTAATTCTGTTGTAGCAATAGCTGTAATGAGCTTTTAATTACATATTATAACTCTGGGATAAAACATTTGCTGTATTTATAGCAAAATATAACCCTGTATTTTTTAAGGTTTTTTTCTTATTGTGAAAGAAAAATTTTGTTTGTACAAAATTTAGAAAGTAGAAAAACATAAAGAAGAAAATAAAAGTCACTTCTCTGAGTCACTTCCAAAGAGAATCATTGTTAACGTATGGGTATATTTTCATTCACCATTTTTCTTTCTACATAGAAGTACACAGGCGCACACATGGACACATATACATATGGACATCTGTGCATTTTTAAAATTAAACTAGATTCAAATGTACATAGAAAACAAAAGTATTTTTACTTCATATTATATTATGAACATTTTCCATATTATTAAATATTTTTCAAAACATAATTTAATGGGAATGCATGGCATATTTTACTATGGTTATACTATGATTTGTTGCATGCCTTTGATGCCTTAAATATTTTTTAGGACTCTGATAAAAATATATTTTACATATAAATATATTACACATGTATAGATACTTTTAAAATATGTAAATATACTTATAGAATTTATATTGTATTACACATTTACATAATGCATGAATTATTTATTTAAATGGTTCCTTATTTAAATTAATCATTCCCCTATTGTTGGACACTGGATGTTTCATTATTAGAAATAATGCTGTGATAATCATGCTTAAATTTTTAAACACATGGGGATCACAGGTCTCAATGTATAAATGTTTTTTAAGACCCTTGATGCATCTGCAAAAATTGCTTTCCAAAAAGGGATTCATTTTTTCACCACAAGCAGTAAGTGGGAATACGTATCTCACAGCATCGTACCCATTTTTAATCTTTTCTAATTTTATAAGTGAGAAGTTGTATATGACTTTAAGTTGCACTTCTTTGATGAATAAAAAGGTTGTGTTTAGTAAAAAGTCTGTTTTTCTGCTAATAAAATTAATATATACCTTACTCTAAAAACTCAAAAAACACTAAAGTTATAAAGCAGACAATAGAAATCACTCATAATCTTATCAGTTGGAGATATCTGTTGTTAGCATTTTTGCCTGATGATCAGTTTGAAACGTTCATTGACTATTTCTACTGTGTGAGTATGTGTGTAAATTATCTGTTCATCATCTTTGCAAATTTTTATCTTGAGAAATTATTGTTTTTAATTGAATTCTAACACCTATTAAAGATTAGTAACCCACTGTCTGTCATATTTTTATATTTATCCCAGTTTGCTATTTATTTTCAAGATATTATCTTTTGATTTTGTGAATAATCAAACTACAAAACCTATCAAACTTCTTATTTGAGTCCTGTATCCATTGTTTTTATGTTTAGAATCTTCTTGCATATTTAAATACTAGTAAACAGTCATATGTGCCTTTTCCTTCTTTATGATTTAATTTTTCATTGAACCCTTTAATCCATTCAAGTATCTATAGATTTTAACTGTCAATAGCATTTGAAATATGGATTTCAGTTGCTGATTTTCCTGTCTTCCCTGTTATACTGGAAGTCCTTTGAGGTAAAGAAAAAAAAATCTTTTTCAGCTTTGTATTTAAAATATCTACCATGGGGTCTGGCATATTATTTTCATTATATAAATACTTAAACAGTGTCTATATTAAAACTATTGGAATACCCATATAATTAAAAATCCTTACCTTTTGAAGTTCTTTGAGTCTAAGACTTGATTCTGTAATCTTTTTCTTGATTTTGCCTGCTTTAATCCAAAGTCTTCACTATTTACTGTGAATTTGCTCACAAAACCACCATCATCCCCCAATAGGATGTCATCTCGGCAGAGCTGGTCAGGCAAAGACACTACACACACACAGAGGAGGCAATGATCCATAGGTTTTATGACAAAATAGTTTTCCTAGAAACAGAAGGATGCTTTAAATGTTATTATGTTGCTCTAAATATCTAAATATTAAATTTAAATATTGCTCTTATTTTTTGTAAGATTTTACTTTTCTGATGGTTTTCATTTTAGATACTCCCACTGTTAAAGGAACTTGAAAAAAACAAAGTTAACTAAGCAGAAGTTAATGAACACTTGCTGTGAGCCCAACACTGTGCTTTTGGGTGTTTTGTTGGAGAAAAGTGTGAGGTATCTATCTTTGGCTCAATAAATAATGAGATTTTCTGATATATTACTCTGAATATTCCTTTCTTGAATTTGTAAGGCAATATTAACAGGAAGCAAAAAGAGTTCAGGTGTTAAAAGACCATTGAAATAAAAACGAGTGATAGATAGGAAAATCTAATATCAAAGTCCCAATTAGTTTACAAGGAGAAAAATATCCTAATATCTACATGTATCCAGAAATATTCAGCAAGCATCTATCGAGCTGACTCTATATTATCAAACTGGGTTCACTAAGCTATATAGACATTGCTTTCCTGGGACTTAGTTTCTACCTAAGAGAGAAGAAAAAATTATGTAAAAAATTTTAAACGTCTTGTTTCCTACAGAAAGAATAAAACTTGAACATATTGACCGGCTCATTCAGTCATTCAACAGATATTTATTGAGCACCTACAATATGGCAAGAACCATTCTAGGCACTGGCTGTTAGTGATGAACAAAAGTTTCTGACTTTGTGGAACTACTATCCCAGTTGGGGGAGATGGATGAATAAAACAGATCATTCCAGATAATGGGATGTACACTTTAAAAAATAAACCAGAGCGCTGTGATAAAGAGTTACTGAAGAGGTCACTTTGGGTCCCATGGTCAAGGAAGTTGACCTTGGATCTAGGATCTGAATTGGTTGAGAGGAGGATTCAGAGGAGGTTGAAAAGGAGGATCCTAGGAGAAGAGATTAATGTCAAAAAAAGAGAAAGGGAAGAAGCTATGGAGCCCTGTTCTGGACAAGGCAGGAGGGGATGGGGATGTTGGATATAGGGAGGGTCAGATTTTGTTTTTAGAGAGAGGAACGAAGAAAGGAAGGAAGTAGTGTTGCATTCTTAGTTAAAGCTTAGTTAAAGCTGGAATTTGAAAGAGGACAAACCTTCCAGACTCAGTATTCTCAGAAACAAGAAGAAGCTAATCTGCTGCAAGGGAACACTTGCCAGGAGTGGGAAAGTGAGTTGGCAAGAATCAGAAACAGGTTGATAGAATACATTGAGGGCTCAAGTGAGGTGGCAGACCCGTATGTACTTTGCAGTGATGCTGAATAGTGTGGTTCTGAGTTCTTCTTTAGCAAGGCTTAGCCACTGCGAGGGAGTAAAGAAGGGCTATAGCATCTACCTGAGATTCAAGTTTTGAAGGACAGAGATTTAAGAGATGACCCATCTTGGGGGTAATATGAGAAGGGAAAGTGAGAAGCAGGGGTACCAAAGTATGGAAGAAGATGCTTTCAACACAGTGGCGGCTTCTATGAGATTGAAAAGCAAGAGTGAAAACAAGAGAGTGAGAAGGAAGAGATTATAATCAAACTATATGACATGAGATAGGGACACATCACATTAAAATACATTAAGCAAACAGCTGTCTTCTTTAAAACCATCTTGGCATCATTAGTTGGCCAATATTGTGGACAAACATAGGAAATTTACTTCTCATTGAGACTAGTATGGCACAGAGGAAGGGTAAATTATTTCTTAATCTTCCATGTCCTTCAAAGTCAGCCTGCTTCCTGAGGGCATATTTAAACAACCCCAGTTCTTAGTGATCTCACCTCTCCCTGAGCTCTTGTTCTTTTTTACTTTATAATTATCTGTACCATTGTATTACATATTAAGTTCGTTCACGAGATTCCTCAAGGCTGAGTTTTGTTTCAGTACAGGGAACATGTTCTTCTTTGTTTCTGTAGATGCTCAGTAAATACTGTAAATTGGTTAAACTGTAACATTTAATTTACTAAAAGGATTAACATTAACATCTACCCCGTTAGATTTTTTTGCCAGAATTAGGTATTTGATTTTAGTAATTCTCTTGCCAAATAAAGCTGGACTGAAGGGAAAGTCTGAACTGGATAACATGAGCATAATCAAAGATAATACTTGGATTCAGAAAAAGGTGTAAATTGAGAAATGAACTAGTCAATCTCTCGCTCTCAAAAACAAACCAAAATAAACATATGCTAAATGAAAATATGTTCCCTTTTAATTAAGACTCAGAATATTACTGCTGGACTAGACTATTTTATTAATTGTTAACCCCTGATTTTATGGGCTTCCCTGGTGGTTCAGCTGGTAAAGAATCTGCCTGCAATCCTGGAGATCTGGGTTCAATCTCTGGATTGGGAAGATCCTCTGGGGAAGGGAACAGCTACCCTCTCCAGCAGTCTGGCCTGGAGAATTCCTTGGGGTTGCAAAGAGTCAGACATAACTGAGCAACTTTCACTTCACTTTCATTTTATATATGAGGAAACTGATGTTCAATAGAGAAAGTGAGTTGCTCATATCCTACCTGTATGGAAAAGACAATCCAATTTTTTTGAGTATTTCCCTTAGCACAGTACCTGGCTGCTCCCTTGAGCTTTATAATCCCAGACAATAATGGTCCTTTCAGTAGTAGCAACAATTCGTTTCAGCTGTGAGAGGTAATCACATCCTGTAATCCAGGAGGTATCCTGATGGAAAAACATGGAATCAGAATGCTGTGTTTTGGACTATATTGTATTTTGTTCTATCTCATAATGACTGGCTACTAAAGAATAGATTAGTTACATTAAAAGCACCATTTTGCCCCCTTATTTGCAGAGGAGCCACACAATATCTCTTCTTTGATGTCTTGACAAGACAGTCTCATCTTTTCCCCTTTTACCCTGAGTTTCTCAGCACCATCAGCTGGAGAATGGCATAGCCAGGGTCTTGGCACAGCTCCCTGGAAGCACATAGCCACTTGCCAAGCAGTCATCTTTATGCATGTTCTTCTACATGAGAACACTTCTTCACAGAGCTAAGACTAGATTTAGGGCACTGATTAAGCAAGTTCTCTGGCCCTGTCCTCATGCTTAACATTTTTAGCTGGATAAGAAACTTGGTGATCATCTGGTCAGGGATCAACTTGAGGTCAACAAGTTTGCCTCATGCCTTCCAGAAGCCAGCAGGTTGGCCTGGCCTGGACCCATACTGTCACTGACAGCACACGATGTTACAGGAGCAAAGGCTCCCACTGGTGAGTGTATCTGTGCCAGAAACTGCTCCCTGAATCTTCTGTAAAACCCATCAGGAATTTTAAGAAAGTTTAAGAAACAGAGACTCAGAGACTCCTCTGCCTGGTACCTCAGTGCATTTCTGTGCATACAGGGAAGGTGAAAGCTAACCATTCCCCGTCCCTCATAAAGCCACAGTGGGATTCCACCATGCAAGCCACCGATTCTGCAGTGGGAAGTCACCGTAGCTTCACAACATTTGTCACAAGATTACTGTTCCAATTAGTAATATGAATTAAATCATACAAAATTGCACTCAAGTTTTTTATGCTGTTTTCAAGTTTAAAATGTTTCCAAATAACTATCACTGACTATTTCCTTGTCCTCACAATGTGTGGGGTTTGCCTTTTTTTTTTTTTTTACACTCCTTAATAGTGAGCACTTAGAAAAGCAGCCAAAGCTTTTTAAATTGAAGCTTCCAGGGAATAATCAATTTCCAAGCAAATTAACTCAGAAAACAAGATCTGTGTCCTCTTTGCTGTTACTCAAGGTTTTTTTGGATCCTAGTCAAAAAGATAAAACTAAAACCTATGAATCATCTTATTCTCAGAGCCTATTCAGGCTCTTCACTGAGATTTTGATTAGTTATGGAAGAATCATCATCAATCATCTTAATTTGATTAAGAATTTTTAAAAAGTACTTACTGTGACATTGGTACTGGTCTGAACTTTCATCTATTGAAAAAAAAGGAAGAGAATAATGAAACCCCGTTGACACTATGATTAAAGATGAAAATGCTGGCTATAAAGCACTATGGTATCTCCTTGGTTTAACCTCAATTGTCATTTCTACCTTCTGTGAGTCTTCTGGTTCCTCCTACTTCTGAAAAGCCTGTCTCTGTGGAATAACACACTGTTCACTTTGGGCAACTTTATGTTTCTGTGTCTTATCTTTAAGCCTGGTTACTGTGCTCTTAAACTTTATTAATTATTTTGTTCCTTCTATTTGCACATTTCCTCACATTCTTTAACTATTCAGAGCAACCTCTGATACTAAAAATTGGGACTGCAAAATAATGCTAACAGCAATGGCAAGAATGGTAAATAGGTCAATATGAATATAGATTGATATGGGAAAAAAAAGCATTTCATTTGAAAGTTATCTCTCAAGTTACTGAGATTTAAGAACATTCTATCTAGTGGGTTTTCTCTTCTATTCAATAAATATATGTTTATGTGTTGATCTCTCAGTTGTATCCTACTCTTTGTGATTCCATGGACTGTAGCTCACTAGGCTCCTTTGTCCATGGAATTCTCCAGGCAAGATTACTGGAGTGGGTTGCTATTCTCTTCTCCAGGGGATCTTCCCAACCCAGGGATCGAACCCAGGTCTCCTGCATTGCAGGCAGATTCTTTACCATCTGAGCCACTAGGGAAGCCCCAGTAAATATGTATTGAGTGAATATAATATCCCAAGTACTAAACTAGTGAAGAGTCATAGATTTATCTAAGGAGAGCTAGTAAGTACATGAGCAACCTCTTATATCCTTTTGTTGTTGTTGTTTAGTTGCTAAGTCATGTCTGAGTCTTTTGTGACCCTGTGGACTCGAGCCCAACAGGCTCCTCTGTCCATGGGATTTCCCAGGCAAGAATACTGGAGTGGGTTGCCATTTCCTTCTCCATTGTGTTTTCCCAACCCAAGGATCTAACCCCCATCTGTTGTGTCTCTTGCACTTGCTTTTTAGCACTGAGCCCCCAGGGAAGCCCTCTTATATCCTTAACGCATGTTAATTGCTCCCAAGGTAAAGGTTAGGGTCTGAAGTTTATTAATGACCTAGTTTCTTTTGCACGCTCAAATGGTCTTTGGGGAAGTCTAGAAAATGGCTTTCTAAAAGGATGGATTATGTGAAAAGAAGAAAATGTGAATCAAGGAGATTACTAGAACTGTTAGTTGTGATCATCACAGACTGTCTTTCATCTGAAGAGTTCAAAAATACTTTTCCAACCAGGTACTTTTTTCTAAAGGAAAAAATAAAGGGATTAGAGAATTCCCTCTTCTATTTCCCTCCATCTTTAGTGGAAGTCACTTTAAAATTCCCTTATCTGCTCTAAAATTTTCATAATCCTATATGTATATGAAAGAGAAAGAGACACACACACATCTCTGAAAATTTGATGCCATCTCACTTATTTCACATAATCCTGAACTATTTCAATATGAACATCATAATGTTTCTCCTCACTGTTTTTCCTTAGATACCATATTAGTTCTACTTTTGAGGAATTAAAGGTAAAAAAATGAAAAGGATAATAATGCATAGAGAAAAAAAGAGACTGAGGAAGGTTTTCATACTTAATGAGTGAGTGTCTGACTCTTTGCGACNTGTTTCTCCTCACTGTTTTTCCTTAGATACCATATTAGTTCTACTTTTGAGGAATTAAAGGTAAAAAAATGAAAAGGATAATAATGCATAGAGAAAAAAAGAGACTGAGGAAGGTTTTCATACTTAATGAGTGAGTGTCTGACTCTTTGCGACTCCGTGGACTACACGTCCATGGAATTCTCCAGACCAGAAAACTGGAGTGGGTAGCCTTTCCATTCACCAGGGAATCCTCCCAACCCAGGGATCAAACCCAGCTCTCCTGCATTTGTAGGCAGATCCTTTACCAGCTGAGCCACAAGGGAAGCCTACTTAATGAGGCAAACCAATTTTTATTTTCACATTATTTGTTCATAATTATAATTGTCATTATTTACTAAGGGTTTACAACGAAGCTAAGTGATTTATATTGATTAAATCATGCAAACAGCGCAACTACCTAGGGAGAGATGTTCTCTGGTCTGGATAAGGAGGAACTGGGGCCTAGCAGTAACATGCATAGCTGTGGTGGAGGTCGGTAGGGGAAGCCAGTCTCCACACTTGTATTCAGAATCTCGTGCTGCACCTGTGGGTGCAGGGGGCCCTCTTTGACGCAATCTGGCTGCCTGTGATGAAAATCACTGAAAGGCTGAAAATCACTGTTGAAATTTTAATCATGTGATAATTATTTTAAACATATTTTATTTGTATAAAGCTTGACTCTACTTAAAATAAATTAATAATTAAATCAATTTTTGTACATTTAACACCAAACACTTGTCTATATCATATCTGATCATATCATCATACATTCCATTACAATCCCTCATATTTTGAAAATGGAAGTCCAAAAACATAAATTTAGAAAGGAATGGCATTAATAATAGCAATGCCTTAAAATGTTTCCATATTCATTATGTCATTTGATGTTCACTACAGTGCTCTGAGGGTGAGGGGACTGATCCTGTTGTCTTCATTTTACAAATATGAGAAAAAGAGACATGAAAGGATGTATGTTGGCTCATTAAGTTCCCTGCTTAACATATAGGATGGTAAAATAGAGGAGCTAGCATTTGACCCTTTTTTAAATCTCAAGCAATAGGTTTCTTGTTGGAACCTTTTATTACTTGGTGGTATTATGACAAAATCACTTGACTCGTGAGTTTTTATTATTTTATTTGAGAAATTATCTAAGGGCATCCTTTAATTGTGTTGATGCACATGATTCAATAGGGTACCCCAAGGAACAATGACAAATGTGGTTACTAAATTCTCAAATGCTGCTCTGGGGTTGAGCAAGCTTCTTGTTTTAGTAATACTTGGTTTTGTTTCTTAGAATAACTCTGAAATATGGTTATGGTTTCTACTGCCTCTGATACATAGGCGTAATGCATAGACAAAACTAAAGAGAAAGGTAGGAGAGAGGAAGGAAACCAAGCTCTCAAATTACCTGGCTATTAAAGACTGTTATCATTCCTTTCTGAGAAGCTGTTATTAGTAAATCCAACTGAGGAATCTTGACAATGCACTTAATCACATCCCGTCTTCTACTCCCTGTGAATGGCACACACTCATTTCAGCTCCTCAAAAGGGTACAAATTGGTTCTTGATGGGCAAGGCATGTGAACAACTCTTACTCTCTGTGTCAAAGTTCGGATGTATATACAGTACATAGGCAGAGACACAGTATCTGAGGCATTAAAATGTCTGAAGGTTGGGGGAATGAGGTTGAGAGAGAGTTGGGGATGAAAGGGGCCTGCAATTAGGAAAAAAGTTCCAAAAGACTCCTTGGAGAGATCAATATGAAAAAAAAAAACAAAAAACTGTTGGGAATATTTTATGCCAAGCCACCATCATGTTTTCTGCTTCCATTCCTTCCCCACTATAGACCACTTTAATCACAGAAGCCAGAACATTTGCTGACGTGTAACTCAGGCCAGGCCCTCGCACAGCTTTTTGTCTCAGAAGTCTTTCGTGTGGCCACAAGGCCCTGGACATCAGGGCCTTCACCGCTGTTGCTCCGCTAACCTCCCCCCTTCCACTATTCTCCCTCCCCCACCACTCCACTCCAGCTTCAAGTATGTGCTTTACTCTCATGTCTCCTCCAGGTCTTTCCCAACTACCCTGTTTAAAGTCCCAACACATGTTCGCATGTCTAAACCAACTTCCTCCCACAGTCCTGCTTTATTTTCCTCCACAATCTGCTCACTTCATTATTTTTTGCTATAGTGCTTAATTTGCTCGTTTTTTAAAAAAATTGCCTGTCTCTTCCCCCATTAGAATGTAGATTCCATGAGGTCAGGGATTTATGATTGTTTGTTCACCACTGTGTCCCCAGCACTTAGAAAGTCACCTAGTTCACAAAGTTGTTTAGCCACTAAGTCATGTCCAGCTCTTTTGCAACTCCATGGACTGTAGCCAGCTAGGCTCCTCTGTCCATGGAATTCTCCAGGCAGGAATACTGGAGTGGGTTGCCATTTCCTTCTCCAGGGGATCTTCCCAACCCAGGGATCAAACCCGCGTCTTCTCAATTGGCAGGCAGATTCTTTACCACTGAGCTACTAGGGAAGCCTGGCTTACAAAGTAGACCTTAACAAATATTTGCTGAGTGAATAAATAAGCTACGGAACTCAAGGGCCATCTATAAAGATGCTTTTGAAATTTTAATTTAGGAGGCCAGAAACACGTCTCCCCTGGTCACTCCTCAATAAGTGATGACAGCCGCATCACCACTGCTCCCTGGCTTCTGTTCTTTGATGATAGTTCCCATGGAGAAGCCCAGAGTTTAGGCTCTGGTGAGGTCTATAGTTGGGCTAAGGAAGGGTCAAAAGCCAGGGTGGGTTTGTTCACAAAGGACTGAAGTAAGTTCAGGGTTTTTTGTTTTTTTTTTTTTTTCTTTCTTTTTTTAAATAATACCAGATTTGATCTAGACTATGCCCTTCATCTCAGAATTTGAGATGAAATGCTTGAGGACAAAGACAGATTCTGGAGGTTTCCTTTCCACATCCTGGACTTCTCCCTCCCTGGAGGGAAGAAGAGAAAGAAAACCCATGGCTTCAATAGTGGACAGGGAAATGAGTTCATGGGACCCAGGATCAAATTTTAAAGCAAATGACATATCTAAACTGGAGACCTCAAACTGAGTTATTTACCCAGATTCACAGTTTGAGAGGTGTAAGGCTAACCTCCATAAGATAATCAAGGGTGGGAGCTTGGGAAAGAGTTCTAAGAAGTGAAAACTTGAAAATTCAATTTTAAGAATATGTATATTTTTTAATGTGATTGATCCATTTGGTACTGGAGCACACATTATTGAGGTGACATTGTAGAGAGATTTAACTTGAGATCTGAACCATTTCTGAAAAATGTGAATTTTCCCTCCTTATATTCCCTACTTCGTGTCCTTCAGAGCAATGATAATATTTCCAACTCAATTGCAAGTTTCTTCTGATACTGCATTTGAAACTGTCACTCCCCTCTCTTGTTATAAATTACTGATCAAGTAAATAAGATGGAAAGTGGTTCAATGGAAATGTTGTATTCCCACTATTTATTTTTGAGAAAATGTTAAAACCCACGTTAATTTGCTAGGGAAATTAAATTGTCACCTGAAATTACAACTCGCTGTTTTCTAGAAACGAGGAAAACCAAATTTTCTTCATCCATTTGGCTAATAAGAGAATCTTCTTCAGAGGAAAAGTAGCCAAAGATCTGAAATTCCAAACAACACAGGTAAACACACACAGTATCTCAGAAATGGCTGTAGAGTAAGAGATTTAATGTCGGTTGCATCTGAAGGCTTACTTTGAATTAACAATCAACATATTGCTTTATAAATATGAAGTTCTGGTGTAAATATCAGAAGGTGGTTTGATATTATTCAGCATACTGCAAGCTGATGGGCATGAGTTTTGAGCAGTCATAGATTTTTCTTGCCAATGGATAAACTGATGTTCCAGGCTGATGTCCTTGCTCAGACTGATATTTCAATTAGGAGATGGCACTTGTTTGGAAATCAAATCAGTCTTCATCAGACAGTTCTTAGTGCTCAACTGAGAACCCTGATGCTGAATTTGGCCTCTCTCAAATAANAATAACATTTGTTTATTTTGATGTAGATAATGGCTTAGCATTATGTGTTTACATGTCCTTCCATCAGTTGTTTCACAAATGTTACTACTTTCTCCTTTACATTCTCCCACATCCAAACCTCACAGCATCTATCAACTGCCTTAATAATTTCCTACAATTAGGTTTTATTCCTTGGGAAGACCAAGATTATCAAAGACTCTTTTGTATTTTTCCATTTTTCTTCACATCAGCAAAAGCAATATTCATTAAAAGATTAAGAAATTTATTACTTTTCAGAAATTGCTGGTAACTTTCCATGAGTACAGAACATTCTGCATGAAGCATCTAATTCCCTCTGAAGGACTGAGAGCATGCGGAAAGGAAGGCCCGAGGTCCTCATGTCCTTGCTGTCAGCTGGGGCTGCCCCTACCTTTCAGAAGCCTCTTTTCAGTCCTACTACTTGGGCCCCTACATCTCAGCACCAGCAATGGTGCTGCAAATCCTTCATACTTAGAATCTTCTTCCGCCTTCTTCTTTCCTTTTTAAGGACTCCTGTGATTACATTGGGTCCACTCAGATAATCCAGGACAGTTTATTTTAAGGTAACTAGTCATTGTAATTGCATCTGCAAAGTCCCTTCACAGCAGTACCTAAATTACTTTGATGTTTTATTGGATGACCACAGGACAAGAATCTTGGGGCAGGTGGCTGGCATGGGGGACATCTTTAGCATTCTGCCTATCACATCTTCTTTTTAAAAATGCAATTCAATACAATAAGCTATTTGTGCAAAATATAACACAAATATCAACATTAGCAGGCTATTTAACTTCAGATAGTCGTGTGAGATAACTATCAGATAATAATGTGAAATGACAATAGGAATGAATATTTGTGTTAATATCCTCTTTGCAAGTTCTAAACTGTCCACTGAGCACCTTTGCTGCTTGCCCAGTCAGTACATTAGCCATGCAATCTGTCATACATGTGGTTTACAGTCACATCTATGATAGGTGCCATCCTATAGGACATCTGCTCTTATGAAAATGATACCTTTTGCTATTTTTAAGCTTAGTGACACAATATTGCAATGCTTACAATAAGCAATTTCCAAAGAACACTAAATACATCAAATTATTAAGATTTATTGAGAAAAAATTTGAGATATTATACCACATAAAGGCCTTTCAGAGAGATGCCTCTTTAGCTGTCTTTATCTGTTATTACACTTTGAAAGAAAAGGTTTACAAAAAAGGTTTTTAAAGAACAGAAAACATCTCCTTTCTTGTGATGGGCTATAACCTCAAGAATCTCAGAATTTCTCTTTCAAAAGTTTAAATTTCACTCTAGTAACCAGTGGGACATTTTAGAGAATTTTATGACTACTGATGATGCTTTAGAGTATTAATTTTCTTTTAACTATGTTATTTAAAGGGCTTGGTACATTCATTAAGTGATCTATCTTTTTTAACTATACTTTTTTCGCCTGATTTCCTAGGGACACATGTTCAATGTAGAATATTTGGAGAAAATAAAAAGCAGATAAATGAAAATAAAAACCAGTATGCAACTCATTTTTTAACCTATCCTGGACAATTCTTTTCACATTTTTTTAGTTAGCATATAGTTTCAAGTGTATAGTATTTTTGTTGCTTAGTCACTAAGTCATGTCCAACTCTTTTGTGATCCCATGGACTGTAGTCTGCCAGGCTCCTCCGTCTATGGGATTCTCCAGGCAAGAATACCAGAATAGCTTGCCATTTCCTTCTCCAGGGGATCTTCGTGAACCAGGGAGGGTTCAGTGAACCCATGTCACCTGCTTGGCAGGTAGACTCTTTACCACTGAGCTTCCTGGGAAGATTTAAAGTAGTTCAATTTAAGTTCACTTCGGGGGAGCACAGTCATAGACATCCCAGATGTCTATGTGCTGGGATGTCTCTTCTTTGAGTTAACTGGATGTGCTCTTAGAAAGAATATGCTTGTGAATTGCTCACTGGAAATTTAGAATAACATACTATTGCAGGAAAAGAAGATTGTATCTTCTTTTGAATCTTCTAGTGACTGGCTTTATCAGTTTAAGACAGTCACATTTCTTTACATCTCTTTACATTTAATTTCCCTCACTATAAACTAAAAGCACAGGTCTAGATGATATTTTAGTTGAGTCCTAAAGTTTCATTACTCTATAAACATCAACTTTTTCCAAATACATTTGTATCTAAAACCTAGAGAAAGAAAATGTACCTTTTTGTGGCATTGCTAATACAAAGAGATTTTGGGGGTTGGACAAAATGATTTTCTATTTATTTTTTGTAAGATGGCTCTAGTAGCACTTAGTTTTCTTTACCTTCACTCAAAACAATTGTGTTATGCTTCAACCAAAAGACACAATCTGGATGAATGGATACAAAACAAGACCCACAGATATGCTGTTTAGAAGAAATCCACTTCAGACCTAAAGACAGATATAGACTGAAAGTGAAAGGATGGAAAAATATATTCCATGTAAATGGGAAACAAAAGAAAGCTGGAATAGCAGTCCTCATGTCAGACAAAATAGACCTTAAAATAAAGAAGATTATAAGAGATAAGGAAAGACACCACATAATGATCAAGGGATCAATTGAAGAGGAAGATACAATGATTGTAAATATCTATGCACCCAACATAGGAACACCTCAATACATAAGACAAACACTAACAGACATAAAAGGAGAAATTGACAGTAACACAACAATAATAGGAGACTTTAACATCCTATTCACACCAATGGACAGATCATCAAAACAGAAAATTAATAAGGAAACACAAGTCTTAAATGATACATTAGATGAGATGGATCTCATTGATATCTTCAGGACATTCCATCCAAATGCAGAAGAATACACCTTCTTCTCAAGTGCACATGGAATATTCTCCAGGATAGACCACATCTTGAGTCACAAATCAAACCTCAGTAAATTTAAGAAAATTGAAATCGTATCAAGCATCTTCTCTGATCACGATGCTATGAGACTAGATATCAATTACAAAAAAAAAAACTGTAAGAAACACAAACACATGGAGATTAAACAGCACATTTCTAAATAACCAACAGGTTACTGAAGAAATCAAAAGGGAAATCAAAAATTTTCTAGAAACAAATGACAATGAAAACACNGCCATATATGATAAGCTTACAGAAAACATTATTCTCAGTGGTGAAAAACTGAAAGCATTCCCCCTAAGATCAGGAATAAGACAAGGGTGTCCACTTTCACCACTATTATTCAAGATAGTTCTGGAAGTCCTAGCTACAGCAATCAGAGAAGAAAAAGAAATAAAAGGAATCCAGATCAGAAAAGAAGAAGTAAAGCTCTCACTGTTTGCAGATGACATGATACTGTACATAGAAAAAGCTAAAGATAGTATCAGAAAATTACTAGAGCTAATCAGTGAATTTAGCAAAGTTGCAGGATACAAAATCAATACACAGAAATCACTTGCATTTCTATATACTGACAATGAAAAGTAAGAAAGATATTAAGGAATCAATCCCATTCACCATTGCAACAAAATGAATTAAATACCTAGGAATAAATTTACCTAAGGAGACAAAAGAACTGCACACAGAAAATTATAAGACACTCATAAAAGAAATCAAAGACAACATAAACAGATGGAGAGATATTCCATGTTCCTGGGTAGAAAGAATCAATATTATGACAATGACTATACTACCAAATGCAATCTACATATTCAATGTGATCCCTATAATATTACCAAAGGCATTTTTCACAGAACTAGAACAAAAAATTTCACAATTTGTATGGAAACACAAAAGACCCTGAGTAGCCAAAGCAGTCTTGAGAAAGAAGAATGGAGCTGGAGGAATCAACCTTCCTGACTTCAGATTATACTGCAAAGCTACAGTCATCAAGACAGTATGGTACTGACACAAAAACAGAAGTATGATGAATGAAACAAGATAGAAAGGCAAGAAATAAACCCATGCACCTATGGATACCTTATTTTTGACAAAGAAGACAAGAATATACAATGGGGCAAAGACAGCCTCTTCAGTAAATGGTTCTGGGAAAACTGGACAGATACATGTAAAAGAATGAAATTAGAACACTTCTTAACACCATACACAATGATAAACTCAAAATGGATTAAAGACCTAAATTTAGGACCAGAAACTATAAAACTCTTAGTGGAAAACATAGGCAGAACACTCAATGACATAAGTCAAAGCAAGATCCTCTATGACCCACCTCCCAGAGAAATGGAAATTAAAAAAAAAAAAAGTAAACAAGTAGGACCTGACTAAGCTTGAACAGTTTTGCACAGCAAAGGAAACTATAAGCAAGGTGAAAAGACAACCCTCAGAATGGGAGAAAATAAATGAAACAACTGGCAAAGGATTAATTTCCAAAATATACAAGCAGCTCATACAACTCAATGCCAGAAAAACAAACAACCCAGTCAAAAAGTGGGGGAAAGATGTAAACAGACACTTATCCAAAGAAGACATATAGATGGTTAACAAACACATGAAAAGATAGACGTGTTCCATTCATCTATCACGTTCCATTCATGCTCATTAATAGAGAAATGCAAATCAAAACTACAATGAGATTATCACCTCACTCCAGTCA